TATAGAAAAACAACTCCAACTTTCATAAATTATTTTGTAGAGGTTTTTATCACCTCATCCACACATATACAATATCACTTTTAATCCAAAATTTTAAAATAATGTGTTCATGAATATTTAATCATGTGTTTAATTTGCTTTTAATAACTTTCATTCACACTTGAACTATTTTCAACAAAAATCCGTCTTGTAAACAAAATATTTGTGTAAGTGGATTGCAAAAACGGTGATTTGAGTTTTTCATATCCTTACTCGAATACAAAGATAAGCCGTAAAAGTCAACTCAACACCATACAATAACAAAAGTAACCTTGCTTTTTCATGTGTTATTGGCTCAACTATCACAAACTAAAAGGAAGAAACCTAAACATAAAACTGAAAAGTAATAATATATATATATATAATATATATATATATATTCTATATATTATATATATATATATATATATTATTACAGAAACAAACAAAACAAATTATCTTCAAATTCATCCACTAAATCTAACCCAAATCCATCCTTCAAAACAAACATAAGGAGAAAAATATAGCGTATTTCTTATTTGTATGCTAAAATATGCTATAGAGAGGCTTTATATAAAAATGAACAACATGTACTTTTGGTTATTGTAGAATCTCTTAAAAATGATAATATTAAAGAGATACCAATAGCATGTTTTATATATTAGAAATTTAACATCAACTAAATATTAGACTAATTTACAGTATTTAAAAAATAAAAAATCTTATTTTTCAAAGTAGTTTTATGAAGATGTGTGTTAAAAAATTTATGTCAATTAGATATTAATTCAATTTATAATATATATAATTAAAATAATTTTCAGTTTAATATTACAACATATATATTGTGGTCATTTAATATACATAGTCGTTAAAATATTTTGAATAAAAAATATGACGAGCTTTTGGAATAAATTCACAGTATTAAAATTTCTTTAAAAGAAAGTAGTAGAAAAAAAAATATTCAATTAAGATGTAATTGTGAAAGATGAAAGAAGATAGAAAGATAACCTAATATAAAAGGGTGGAAGACAAAGATAATAAATCTAATATAATTGTCATAAATATAAATATTTTTTAGGGTATAAAACCAATATTGAAGAAATGCTAATCGTTTACTAGAAATAAAAAGATAGGGAATCAATTTCAGGACTAATACTTGATAGTGTTTTGGATTTCAGTTGGAAGACTCAAATTAGTTTTCATTTTTCAACAACATGTCTGAGTTACATATTTAATCATTTTTATTTACATTTAACTACATATAATTCTGAAATACTTCTTCCAGAATATGTTCGAATTGTATTTCAAATTTGATAATAGGAAAACATGAACAAATAAAAAAAAATCAGAAGAGAACAATAAAGAGTTTTAATATTTAGTTACGGTGGGGGTGTAAGAAGAAGATTATGTGGTACAACAAGAATCTTGTGAACTTGGTTAGGTGAAATCATGGATTCAAATGGGCCCACATTCTCGTCCATGAGTGGCATATAATAGATATTGATATTGGGGTGTTACTCCCTCCACCACCACAACTTGCTTCCTCCACCACCCCATTCTCCCCCCCCCTTTACTCTTTTTTTTTATTTTTTCATTCCTATTTTACCCTTATTAAAATTTTAGGGTTAATATTATTTAAAATCTCACGTGGAACCATTCATTCTCTTTATCATTCCTTCCCTCTTTCTCTTTATTATTTTTCCCAGGTTGTCTCTTACGTTCCACTACCATTGGGTTGTCTCTCATGTTCCACTTCTTCTTCTCTTTTATAGAATTGTGACATGAGAGTGTGGTGGACTTTGTGTTTAGTATATTGAAAGTGGGGAAAGCAATTCATCTTCAGTCGTGAGTGTGGTGGTGCTTCAAGGTGCTGCTGGTTCAGAGGCGTGAGAAGGTTCAGAGGCGTGAAGGTGCGTAATAAACCCTAAAATATAAAACCGTATAATCTTTAAACGGATGTGAGCATCCGTCAACGGAGGTCAACATCTGTTTAAGGGAAAACGGATGTCAACATCCGTCGACGGATATCAACATTCGTTTCAGATTCAAACGGATACCCGACATCCGTTTTTGGCCTGGTTATCTTCTTTCTTTCTCCCAACACACGCACACAACAAAAAAACGCAGAGCACAGCACGGAACACAGCACGGAGATATATGCATTGCATTTAAAAAAAATTAAAAATATCATCACTAACCTTGTGAGGAAAAATGGAAGATGAAAAACAAATGTGATGGAGTTTGGGTGAGAATCTGAGAGGGTTGGGAGGTGGGTGAGAAGGGGTAGAAAGATAGATTTTAGGGTTAAAGTAAATAATTAGGATTAAAAAATAAAAAGATTATTTGTGTAATTATAAAAGGTTAGTTTTGTAATTAAAAAATATGTAATAAAGTTGGGGAGGTGGAGGGAGAAAATATGGTGGTGGAGGGAGTAACACCCTTTATATGGACACATTCAATGGAGGATCATTATTATGTTCTTCATTTCTTTTCCCTATGAATTTTTATAAAATAAAATCAATTTATATTAAAGTTAAATATAAACAATTAAAGAACTTATAAAAAATTCAAATTATAAATAAATTTTAATTTGTGCAGAAAAAAGTAAATTACAAATTATAAAGTAATTTCTTTTTTTCTAATTTGCTTTTGAAATTGTTAGTGCATGGTGCCAAAAGTGGTCGGGAACATTTTGGCACAACATTATGAAGGATAAGGATAGCCTTGTAGTGAAAACGTCTTATACTAAATAAAGATGTCATTTAATGAAAATTTTGATGAAAAGTTAGAATTTTTGTCTCATTCCTAACAACAAATTCAAGTAGCATTAGTGCATGATATTGTTCGAATAATAGAGATGTGTTGCTACAAATCTCTCAATAAATCATAATCATGGTTGCAATTTTCCAATTCTGTTTATTACATTTATATTGTTAAATTTGTCAAATGTCACTTATTTAGACCCATTTCTTTATATTTTTCTATTTATAAATACATAATTAAATTATATGTGTTTTGCATGTTATTAAGAAATCAATGACTCTTCCTTTTTAGGGTTAAATTCCACCTATCGTGTGCAACTTATTGTTCAATTTTTTCAAAAGTTTTATTATTTTCGATATTATTATTTCCAACATCAAAGATTATCATTTGCATCTAAAGGCCATTAGATGAATAGTTGAAGGAAAATTAATCATCCATAGTGTCCCTTTACAATTAGACTAAAAATGCATAGTAGTTAATGAAATTCAAGATGTTATTGTTCAAGTATCTTTATTCAATATAGAAGTTAAGTTAGTAGAGTAGACATTAAACATATTTCTAAAGTGGCTAAGGCATTTTGTCAAACCAATTTCAGTACCAACAAAAAATTTTAAGTTATGCTTATTTTTATTATATATTTAATTAAATTTATCGGTGTTGTATTAAAGATGATTTTATAACTCAATTTTAAATGGTAATGTCAAAAGTTTAGTATGAAAATTTTGTAGGTACAATGGGACAATATAATTTTTCGAGTGAATAAATTTGTTTTCCATTTTACATTTTCCTACCAGAAGGAAAACTTTCCTATAAACATTTAGTCTCAACAGTGGAAAAAATTTATTTATTTATATTTCTTAATATTATAATAATTACACTTAATTAATCAATAAATTCAATCATTTATGTTCATCAATAAATTGAGTATGAAATAGGGAAGATCATAATATAATGGATATGTCGAGTTTCAATCCATTCAAAAGTTTGATAACACAAAAGTTAATATCCAATAATACTTATAGATATGAATGAGTGACTCACAAAAAATATATATTTGACTCCATTGATGAGTTAGTTCAAAATAATTTGTTATTTTGTAATTATGATTTTTATATCATTAATTGATTGCATGCAGGTTCGATTGGCATAGTGTAAGTTTTAAATTTTGTACAATTACATTTTAAACTATATTATTAACTTACATGTGTATTTATTGAGAGTTACATAATTTAATTGCGTTGCTTATTTCACGATCCGACTTCATTTTAGGATGATGACATGTTACATATACTACAATAATATATAGTTTATCTTCAAGATAATTAGTAATTAGATTTAATTTATTTTCTTAAATACTTTAAGTTTATTTAATGATCATTTGAAATATTAGATAATTTAGATTAAATTAAAAAATTTAATTACTACAATTGTTTTGTTTTATTGGAATTTTTTAGTATTGTCTCCTGGTAAAATATTTTTTTTTACAGATTTTAAAGTTAATGTCAAAACAAACCACGTATTTAAGAAAATAACATATTTTACGTCAACTATGATTATATTTAATGTAACCTATCACTTTATAAATTAGTTAAAACGTAGATTATATTATATTGTTTTGTGTTTCTCGAGTGCAGCCTTTCAGTGTTAGGAAAAAACTAAGGTATGTTATTTTGAGTGGATTTGAGGGAGTAATTTGAGGAGATTTGAACATAATTTTTTTTGTCGTTTATTTGAATGAATTTGGAGATAAATGAGAGTCAATTTGGAAATAAAATTTGTGAGAATTAGTATAGAATTGTATTGACGTGACAAATTAAAAAAAATTATTTTCAAATTCAATCTCGTTTACCTCCAAATTCACTCAAATAAACCACAAAAAAATTTATCTTCAAATCCTCTCAAATTCCCTGAAATCCAGTCTCTCAAATCCACTCAAAAGAAGAGGGCTAAGTTTCCATAATCTCTTTCACTGTAAATTTACATAAACAAATTCAATTGATTTCACCATACACAACCACCATTATAATTGCAACTATATAATCATTCCTTAAAGTAACAGTGTAACTAACAAGATAGCACAAACTACATTAAGGTCCCCAACCTCATACGTAGCTGCTTGTTCAAAAGTAATGACTAAAATAATTATGCAGAGCACAAAGTGCAAGCGTGAATCAAGAAACACTGTTGCAATTATACAGTAACTTCATACCAGCGACTGTCACACACAAAACAACCTCCTACCTTAAACTGGAACACATAAAAGGTCACTCTCTTTCCATTCTAGGATTTGACATGGAAAACAAAGTTTCTGTTATAATATTTTATTATTATTTGACAATTTTTATAAGAGGAAAATGGTCTTACTAAAATTAACTTTTGCATTTTTAAAGAGAAAGAAAAAGTAAAAAATAGTGAGAGATAATGTTATGTAAAAAAATAAAATCTAATGTAAAGTACCATTGTCCATTTAATATTTCAACCACAAGATGACAGACAAATTATGAAGCACAATCCCCTTATAATATCTCTTCACACTTCCTTCCTTTTAACCCAACACCCTTCTTCAAAGACTCAATCTTTCTCCTTCTTTGGCATGAAACATGGCCAAGACCATAATGGGAAACATGGGATATTTTTTTACAAGCTATCTTCTAGTTCTAACAATGATGTTCTCAGCAAATGCTCAATTTGCTAAGAAGACTTACCTAGTTCAAATGGATAAGCCAGTAATGCCAAAAGCCTTCACCAACCACCTTGAATGGTATTCATCAAAGCTGAAATCGGCACTGTCCACATCTCCAGAAGCTGATGCGGACAGTGAGAAGAAAATTATCTACACTTACCAGAATGCTTTTCATGGTGTTGCAGCTAAGTTGACTGAAGGAGAAGCTAAGAAGCTAGAGGCTGAAGAAGGAGTTGTGGCCATATTCCCAGATACAAAGTATGAGCTACACACTACAAGAAGTCCTGCATTCCTCGGGCTTCAACCACAAAAAGCCCCTAACGTGTGGTCAGAAAAGCTTTCGGGCCGTGATGTTATAGTGGGAGTGTTAGATACTGGGATTTGGCCAGAGAGTGAAAGCTTCAAAGATGTAAGCATGGGACCAGTACCTGCTCATTGGAAAGGTGCCTGTGAGATTGGAACAGGATTCACAAAAAGTCACTGCAATAAAAAGGTTGTGGGGGCAAGAGTGTTCTACCATGGATATGAAGCAGCAATTGGTAGAATTAATGAGCAGAAGGAGTACAAATCACCAAGAGATCAAGATGGGCATGGCACTCACACAGCAGCTACAGTTGGTGGCTCTCCTGTGCTTGGGGCTAACCTTCTTGGTTATGCTAATGGCACAGCAAGAGGAATGGCACCAGGTGCAAGGATTGCAGCTTACAAAGTGTGTTGGATTGGTGGGTGCTTTAGCTCAGATATTGTGTCAGCTATTGATAAAGCTGTGGCTGATGGAGTGGATATTCTTTCCATCTCTTTGGGTGGTGGAGTCTCCTCTTATTACCGTGATAGTTTATCTGTTGCTGCATTTGGAGCAATGGAGAAGGGTGTTTTTGTTTCATGTTCTGCAGGAAATGCAGGACCTGATCCTGCCAGCCTCACCAATGTTTCACCATGGATCACCACAGTTGGAGCCAGCACAATGGATAGAGATTTTCCAGCAGAAGTTAAGCTTGGAAATGGTAAGATAGTGACTGGAGTTTCACTCTACAAAGGGCAAAGTGTGCTTTCAATTGAGAAACAATACCCTTTGGTGTACTTGGGGAGCAACTCTAGCAGGGTTGATCCAAGATCCATGTGCTTGGAAGGGACTATGGATCCTAAAGTGGTTTCAGGAAAGATAGTTATATGTGATAGAGGCCTTAGTCCTAGAGTGCAGAAGGGTCATGTGGTGAGAAGTGCAGGAGGGGTGGGAATGATTCTCACAAATACTGAAGCTAATGGAGAAGAACTAGTTGCTGATTGCCATCTCCTTCCAGCAGTTGCAATAGGAAAAAAAGAAGGAAAAGATCTCAAAAGTTATGTCCTATCTAGTCAAAGTGCTACTGCAACTCTAGCTTTTAAAGGTACGAGGTTGGGAATAAGGCCATCTCCTGTAGTGGCAGCATTTTCATCAAGAGGGCCAAATTTTCTCAGCCTTGAAATTCTGAAGCCTGATTTAGTAGCTCCTGGGGTGAAAATTCTTGCTGCTTGGAGTGAGGCCATTGGTCCATCAGGTTTGAAAGTGGACAACAGGAGAGAGAAGTTCAATATACTCTCTGGAACCTCAATGTCATGCCCACATGTGAGTGGTGTAGCAGCCTTTCTCAAAGCCAGGCACCC